AGGGTGTACTTAGCAATGGGTGATAATGAATAATTTCATTCTACTTTTATATTATAGTTAGTGTTAATAGAAATACAAAGCCTGATATGAATTTTATAATGATAGCCATCGCAAAATAAAATTTGAACTATTTCCAATAGAGACTATCGATATTGCGGTGACTCAGTTAAATCTATCCAACGTAAAATTATAATCATTCAGTCGATTACAAGAACGTAAATAAATTAGATATTTGTCATCCAATTTAGGTGTTATCAATAACAACAATAATAATTCTGATATTTGTATAATTGGATGTTTTCCAAATTTGTGGAAACGCTTCCCATACAGATAAATAGCCATAAATTATGATATCTATCTGCTGGTGGTAGAAATGGCTGTTAAGAGATTGATATAGGTGTAGTGCTTACTATCATTCCAAGTTGAAATTATTCAATCGGTCAAAGTACAGAACACATGTCACATCGTATGATTTCGATTGATTAATATTCAAAGTATGTGCTCTCATAACAGATGATAAAATTAGCACTACGACTGGTGATCAAGGAAGTTTTGTTGCTAAGAATTAACATGGACTCATCATTGATTGTAAATTGCGTCTATTTCTAATAGAAATGAATAATATTTGTATACGCTCCTGTAATAGAGTAATAACTTATCGCCACTAACTTTATCCGATGTTTTCACAATGTACAGTACATATGTCTGAATTTATAGTAGAATTGCTTTCTCCGCTGAATTAAAAACATCAAAAGTGACGATTAGAAATGAGAGGTTTTCATCACAATAACTTCGTAACGAAGTCGAATATACAACCGAAGAAATTGTATACTGATTGTTAATTGAAAATAACTACATTTCTCATGATAGCTCAGCCGCTTCTGTATTAAACTAGCTTCATAGCGATAGTATATGGTTCTTAATATATACATAGAGCACAGTACAACTTAAGATGCATGCGGTACAATACTTCTCTCATGTACTTAAATTCATAATTTGAAGGATTAATATTACAGTTTACCACTAATACATAACAATAATATAATTTTTTGAATTTACACGTTGATTAGATGATAGAGTAAATGTGAAGTTTAGATATTATTGTCTATATAATACTCTTCACATTTTTCTAAACAAGATTGAAGATTATTTCTCTCTTGAATTCCCAGAATATCTTTAGCACTACATAGAAAATCTTAATAAATGGAAGTTTCGACATTTTACTACGATTGTCCAGCATTTATCTGTTCTCGATTTCTCTTTCTTACTTGCTCACTTAAGTAATTCATCGATTATCGTACTTCTATCATTACAGTTCTTAACATCAACTCCATTGCTGCCATGTTAAATAATTACTTTAATATATACATCATTGCTAATAAAATCGGTTGATGCAATTTCAAAATGGTGGAATGACGATATATGGATTAAGTTAATAAAGAAATCTGCTATTATAATATCTGCTACAGTATGAGCTAAATTGGTTATTTTCTTGAAAAGCCTTAGGTATACTGTTGGCTAGTTCTATAAATTGTCCAGAAGCTATGTCTAGGCGTATCAAGGGTTTAGTTTGGAGGGAGTCTAATCAACTGGATAATTACTTTTAATATTGAAAACTATAAAATCTCTATACAGTTTCTTGTAATATTTTATGCTATTAAGTACTTGTATCTAGAGTATTATTCTACTAGTAAAACTAGAACTACTGGTCAATGATATTATGTAGTGGAATTGGCGATCATCACGTGAACTCGCAGTAAGAAGTTAACAAGTCTTTGAAAGATATAAACATAATGGAATTAGAAATGCGTTCCGTGTGGTAACATTAATTTGTTTAATTAACACGTAGAGTAGAATTTATGCTATATAACAGACTTATCGCGATCATGGTAGTGGACAGACGATACTGAAGGAGTTAGATAATATCGTATAGATTGATATCCGGAATAAATAAATTAGAAGTTCAATTAGTCTTTGACTGATATCAACATAACGAGATTAGATATACGCCCAAATTGATTAATGTTAATTTGTATATAGTGACATACGATATATGGCAAAGACTTCAATATTCGATATAGAATAGACTTATCGGGATCGTGATAGTAGACGGACGATACTGATGGCGTTGTATGATATTGTATAGAAGCGATTATACGAAGTAACGAGGATATATCGAAGTGAAAACGGCATTCTTAGGTATAGCCTGTTAAGGTGATCGAAACATGTTGTATAGTTATTACGACCCCTAAATCGTTAGTAAACTCTTACCCCATACTTTAGAGTAAGTAGTTCGATTACTTTCGATCAAGTTACAGTCATATATTCCATCAATATTATCTGTCGCGGTCTTATCCTATTATAATAAAGTAGGATTGTTAAAGCGTCCATTACGATCCATTAACTATTAGTCATACTTTAGACTAATTAGTTGGATTGTTTTCGGTTACTTGTAGTCATACGCTGTATTATAAGACTATTATCCGACATAGTACTATCCTATTGTAATACAGTAAGTAGG